TTTTGCTGTTATGTAAATATTCACGCATTCTTGTAATGAGCCATTTTCTCTGGACGATTATCTTTTCTAACCACCATTCGTGATGTCCTTATATAATCTTTTTTCATTCAAAAAGTGACTCTTGAATTAAAAAATTTTCCATAAGAACCTCTCGATTTTCATCTATTTCCATAAGCGCCCCCTCAATTTCCACTCTGTTTTCATAAGCGCCCCGTTTAAATAAGCGCCCCGTTTGAATAAGCGCCCCTCAGAAAGTGCAAAAAAATATTTTAAGCACCTGGGCGCTTATTCGTGTGAGTATGGTATATTCCTGGCCCTTTTCTGATTGGTCAGTTAAGTTTGATTGACAATGGTCCATTTACTACTTAAAATCACTTGTTTTATTTTCACATTTCTACCATAATACCATTAATCAATCTTTGCCACTATAATTGTATTGAGACATTTTAAATCTCTTTTGTTAGATATATATACACACTAACAATGGACTTTCCCCTAAGGCCTGCCCCTTTGCATCTTGTTTATTAGAGAAAAAAATTATTGTGAGTTAAACACTGCCTATAAGAACCCACCCTCCCTCCCTTTCCCAGGAACCTGTTTACAGGCCTGAATACAGTATGTTCTTGTGTTCTGTAAATATCTGATGTATACTTGGCTATGTTAGTTCAATCCTACAATCACCAACTCTATAACTCTATCTGACTATTTTTCTCCTTAAAAATATATTTAAGGCTTGTCATTGCAAAACCAGCATACTGGCAATAAATGTTAAACTGAGTAATTAGCATAAGAATGTGGCAGTATTGTAAACAGAGAACCTGTAATACTTTACTCATAACTTAAGCAATAATAAGTTTATTCCAGTAAATGACTCACCATTTTAAAACTAACAAGATAATCTGAGATTACAAACCCTCACCCTGTTGTGCCATATCTATGTATTATAGTCGATTCGCTGGTGGTTGTTGTTTTTTAGTTGGTGTAATATTACTAAATTTACATATGCATTAGAGAAAATGTAGCTGAATGGTAAAGATGCATGTGTAAAGTTGATTGACACTATGAGGTTCGAATCTTGCTTTTGTTTTTTTGGTTTTTTTTTTAATTATTATGTATTATTATGTATTATGTACTATTATTATTATTATTATTATTATTATTTACTTTTTATTATTTTGCATTTATAGAATACTTTTTTTTCATTTTTTATTATTATTCACAATAATTATTGTTTTTTTTAATAAAATTGGGACATCAGATTGTGAGATATATACGGCCAGAAAATTCTAAAATTTGCATCTTACTTCTCCAGTCCATCTCCCAAACGAGACCTAGCCTCACAGGACTCAGGTGGCAAGGCAATCAATTTTAAAGCTTATAATTGGGGGAATATGAATATATTAAAAAGTCAATTTTCTTGTTTTGGTCACTGATGTGGTGTTGGCATGACAAGCCCCATTTCTTTAGAAAGTGACAGTGCTTACACATTCCAAGGTTTTCTGCAAAACTGATGTCCTCCCAAAGTGTACAGCTTGAGGATGATCTCTAAGGTAAATAACGTCAAAAAAAACCACTCGGTTTGGTCCCATCGAAAGCCAATGCAGAATGCGTTTATTGCGATGATAACATCAAAAAAATATCGGAAAATTCTGAAATTGGTAAATTAGAAAACAAAATATTTTACCATTGTTATCATTATCAACAGAACTTCATCATAACCATCATCAAATTTCTTAATCAAGAAAATGCTATTGATTATTAACATATCTTGCATATTAAAGGCCTGGTTTACACAGAATGCGACAATGGCACGCGACAGCAACAAAAATATTTTGTTGTACCTGTCTCTTATACACATCTAGATGTGTATAAGAGACAGAGCACATTCTCAGGTCCCATCGAAAGCCAATGCAGAATGCGTTTATTGTGATGATAACATCAAAAAAATATCGGAAAATTCTGAAATTGGTGAATTAGAAAACAAAATATTTTACCATTGTTATCATTATCAACAGGACTTCATCATAACCATCATCAAATTTCTTAATCAAGAAAATGCTATTGATTATTAACATATCTTGCATATTAAAGGCCCGGTTTACACAGAATGCGACAGTGGCACGCGACAGCAACAAAAATATTTTGTCGTACAGTGCGTTACATTTCCACAGCTGTGGCACACACAACTTGCATCGCTTGTTCTGCAGTAGTGTACCTGTTCAGAAGGATGAAGGATGAATGAAGATTGGTGAGAATTTTTGTTTGTTGCGCATGAGTTATTTTTGTAAATTTTTTAGTCATTGATGCGCCATTTTCTCATGTAATCATGTAGCGTTTGGTGTGGATCAACAAAAAAAAACATTGTAGGTTCTGTTTTTTCTGCCGCTGTCACATGCTGCTTCATGCTCTCTGTAAATAGGCATTAAAATGTAAAAAATAACTGAAAGTGTTGCAGACTTACGGAGCTCTCACACAATCTTTTATTTTTCTACTTATTGTTGATTCATAGCATTGTGGGAAAGTTCTACCGATTAGTGGAATACGATCCGCAACCTCAGAAATCTCGGTATTCAATAGGTCCACCACGTGCATAAATTCAGCTTTACCTGTGCAAATGAAAAAATGGGGATAAAACGAATAAGAAATTAGTGTAAAGTTTTGAGGGCAATGTTGAAAAATATTGAATCTAAGAAGCAAATGCATAAAAAAGTCTCGTGATGACCTGTAAGTCAATTTTTGAATGCGCGCCTGGTTTATAGGGCACAACTTTTAAACCAGTGCCAAAAATCTACATTTAATGTAGGCATATGTATATTGGTCTTTTTTTTTGACAATGAAACATATGACAGAAATGTAAATGTGCATGCCCATCAGCCGATGCTTTCCATTCGAGGGAATAAATTTGACTAGTGGAAAACAGGCTGCAGTTAATATTCATACCTCCATTTGCCATCAAATTGTAAAAATTGCATTTTTAAATGCAAGATAAAGGGATGTGTGGGTATTAATAATAGCCTATACAGCAATAATACACCAAAGCGGACACAATATGCAATAACTCCCCGCTTATGGACAGACAAAAACACATTGAAATTAAAATTATGACACCTCAAAATTTTAAACATGAGTCGGCTACTGCATGTGCAAATAAAGCTACAGCTCAGGTATTGTGGGTCAATTAAAAAAAAAAGCAGGACACGCCACTGACCTATCTGATCATCTTCATCCTCATCAATGATATCCCATAATAACCTAATCAACACTTCGCTTCGATGAGGGACTACCAACTTCATGACCACTTTCCACCGTACCCAAGGTATGATGAATTGATTGCCATTAAAAACTTTAAGAATGTCAAACGCTCTATTCAGTTGACGTCTCTTGGCAAACACGGACCTTTGAACTTCATTCTGAAGAAGGAACAAATTTCAAATTCAATAGAATATAATCTGCACATGTGTGTATTAATAATATAGAAAAGAATTTATCAGTAGTACAAGTTTGCACATCCATTTTCTTTGCCTCACCAATTTTTTTCGAAATGTACGAAAATCTGGCATCAATAAAATTCCTCTCTCGATCGTTATGGTTGGGGATACATGTGGTATGAATCATGTCTAGTGCTTCTTCTATTTGCTTTCGTGATTAATGGGTCTACTTGGTAATAGTGAGAACGTAGTATGACTGTTTCCCTTTGACCATCTTGGATTTGCCATCTCAGAGTAACAAAAAAAAAACGTGCCCTAATTCTCCTTTTTTCAAAATATTAGGATGAGAAACTATTTCTTTTCACTTGGCCTTATTATTATTATTATTATTATTATTATTATTATTAAAATACAGATATTTGTTCATACTTTTAGATGTTTTCTGTAGTTCTTATAAATTACAGCCAAAAAGATGCTCATCAAGATGTAGATACAGATGATGATGTAAGCAATGAATATGAGTACATTCCAAGCATTTTTGTCGTAGGCTGGCATCCTAAAAAATGAGAACAATACAGGTTGTTATAGTCTCTGGGGTGGGGAGGAGATGAAGGCAAATGTGAAGGGGAGAAATGATACTTAATTTGTCAGAACTGTACATTGTTTGTATGTGAACAGGGACTGACAATACTTTGTCAGCTTCTTATACGACATATTCATATAAATATAAAATTAAAAACTTTATATCTGTGGATAAAGCAGAAAACTAAGGAACTTACGATTCATATAATTCTACTGTTGCCAAACTGATAGTTGATACTTTACTGAATTTTACAGTTACCCTTTTATATTAATTAAATACAGGTCTCCCTCCAATTAAACACCACTTTTGGAACCATGGTTTTCATGGTCTTTTTAGCAGCTTTGTTCTTTAATTATGAAAAATATTATTATAAAAATAAACAATAGATATTCATTTGGGCTGCAAAAAGGTGGTCTTTAATTGGAGGTGGTCTATAATGGAAGGGGTCTTTAATTGGAGGGAGACCAGCATACATAACAAATAGAAGACATACCATATTTACTTGCAATTTACCAGATAATCACAGATGAATGAATTTGGATGTTCACTACAAAATGTTTCAGCTGTATTAATCAAATATAAATATTAACAGCAGGATACAAGAACAATTGACCTTTTTGTAGTTTCAAACAAATGACCAATCAGAACATGTTATTCAATATGCAGGTCCAGGATTATGTACAGTCCCTCAAACACACAAGTTTACACCTGTACATTATGACTGTTATTGGGACCTTAGGGAATGTTCCATCTTAGTGGAATAGTCCATTTATAGTGGAATGTTCCATTTTGATAACAACTCACATTATGTCTGGACTATTGACAGTTGTAACCAACACATACAAATGCCAAATGTTATCCCAGTAGGCAGTCATGTAGGGAGTCCCATCTGGCATAAACAGGTTTCTGGGGGGGAAAAATTATTAGAATCATTAACCATTAAACCAATTAATTAATTATTTTTCAAAAAAAAAAAAAACAATTGTGTCCTAAACTGGGTATTTAATTATTTATACATAATTAATTTTTTATTAATAAAGATAATTATTTCATAGGATATATTTATTGTATTTTATTGCCAAAGATAATCACAAATGTCCGAAGACTTATTTCCAGTGGGGTCTTGCATTCATTTAACATGCATATGGGCCATGAAGCATTCAGGACCAACAGCTTAAACATCTTGGATCCCACACACGGTGCGCTATTGAAACTTGCATTTCTGGCCTCCAGTTAGCTGAAACACAAGTACAGCGATGGGAGCTGAATTGGGGACCAAAAGATACGACTGAAATAAGCTGCTCTTCATGCCTAGGCTTCAGTCCACATATTCACAGCTAACAACCACAAGCATTGTAAAGAATGTTAATAATGATATCAATAATAAAATTACTGAGACTTACTCATCCTTAAAGAGCTCCCGCATGAGTAATGCAAACAGACCAATCACAATAAAGAGCAAGATTAGCACGTAAAATATCTCTGGCAAGGTACGGCGTATGTTGCGAAAACTACGACGAAGCTATGCAAATACAATGCACATTAAACTAAGCAAAACATTTTTAAAAAGAGAAACAAAAACATTGCTACAACTAAATATTTCATAATGTTGATATGCCCTTTAAGACTTATAATGTATTAAAATATGCAAAAACTAAAAGTATATGAATAACTTGAAAAAAAATACAATTAAATATATTAATTGAAAGTTTGAGGGTTAACATTTCTGTTATCAGATTTATCAATTCAGATACAAGTTTCCCTACAATTAAAGATAATTTTTTGGGACCGAGGTTTCATGTCTTTAGCAGCTTTGGTCTTTAATTGGAGATGGCCTTCAATTGGAAGGAGACCTGCTTCATCTCAGAGAAAGTCCAAACCTGTTTCATCTCAGTGAAATTGACCAGAAAGAGTGGCCGAAGACACCTTGACCATCGGACAACAGTACAGCTATTACAAGCCTCTTTCAAAATGATGTATAGAATGATATCTATGCATGTTAACTAAAGAGAAAATATAGAAATGTCAACATAATGTTCAGATACTACTATCGTAATAATTAAATTTCTTTGCATTTATTTATTTATATTTATGTTATTTATATTCATGTTAGTTAAATATTTTGAAATACATGTATTTATTCATGTTACCTATTTTGATATTTATGTTATATATTCATGTTATTAATTTTATTCTATACATGGTATGTATTCATGTTATTTATCTATGTTATTTATCCAAGCTGTTATCAAAGTTTTAATTTTAGATTTTAGATTCATTTAATCGTTCATTTAAAGTTTTATATATTCATTCATATATTTATCTATAAATTTATTCATTCATTCGTCCATCCATTCATTTATTTATTAATCCACCCATATATCCATTCATTCGTTCATGTGTTTATACAGTTGTCATTCATTATATTATTCATTCATTCATTCACATACATATCCATTTACCAGTATTAACATTATAAGAATTTCACTCAATGTGTAGGAAAAATATACTCTTTTGTAGTTAGCAAAATGAAATAACCATCACACAAAAATATTGATAAAGAAATACAATGAAAAAAAGTTTACAAACCTATATTATAAATTTAATGGTACTGTACTTTTATATAAAAAAAATAAATAAATAAAAAAACAGTGAAGACAAAAGAATACTTATGCACAAACACAAAAGCAGGCACAAAGAGTTAACTTACCAGTAATATAATAACAGTTATTAGATGCTTTGTATCTGTCCACCAGCGAAGCCCTGAAGAAAACCTTTTTGAGTGAACAAGACGAAACGTGAAATATCCCAAGCACAGCAACTCCATAAGCATGGTGGACTGCAAACATAAAAAGGATTCATGATTAGTAAAAACCTAAATAAAATAAGAGAAAAGAAATTCTTAATTATAGACACCAGACTACAACTAAATTCCAGCTTAAACCATGCTCAGTGATGGCGCCAGCGGGGGAGGGATTCAGGGCTTTTCCCCTGTCAGACAGGTCTGGACCCCGTCACCCGACATGGCTGTCGGACAAAAAATATTAATATGCCTATCTAAATAGCATTACAGTATTTGGATTTGGGTGGACTGCAAACATAAAATGGATTTATGATTAGTAAAAACCTAAATAAAATAAGAGAAAAGAAATTCTTAATTATAGACACCAGACTACAACTAAATTCCAGCTTAAACCATGCTCAGTGATGGCGCCAGCGGGGGAGGGATTCAGGGCTTTTCCCCTGTCAGACAGGTCTGGACCCCGTCACCCGACATGGCTGTCGGACAAAAAATATTAATATGCCTATCCAAATAGCATTACAGTATTTGGATTTGAAATCCCTAATTTTGTGGTCTAAAAGCACAATGTGGGCCAAACTAAGCCATGTAAACTCTCCTCTATATCAGGGATTTTTATTCTTTGAACCTATGACCGAGGCCTTTGTCTAGGAATTCTCCATTAGGCAAGACTTTTCTATACTTTGTTTCGTGAAATATAAAGAAATTTTGGTTTCTTACTTAGCAAATGGTTTTGCCAAAACATCAAGATGGAGAAGAAAATAAAAATAAAATTTTATTGGTGAAGGTAAACAGTGTAGTGATAGGATGGTTAAATGCTTTAAGTTTATACAATTAGGAAGACACAAACTCTCCTCTATATCAGGGATTTTTATTCTTTGAACCTATGACCGAGGCTCTTGTCTAGGAATTCTCCATTAGGCAAGAATTTTTTATACTTTGTTTCATGAAATATAAAGACATTTTGGTTTCTTACTTAGCAAAAGGTTTTGCCAAAACATCAAGATGGAGAAGAAAATAAAAATAAAATTTTATTGGTGAAGGTAAACAGTGTAGTGATAGGATGGTTAAATGCTTTAAGTTTATACAATTAGGAAGACACATACATGTCTTATTTTTAAGAAATTTCAAGGCAGCGGCAGGTGTAAAACTTTTATTCTTTTTCTGAAATTGCCAGTTTTTCCTGGTGGTGGGTGCGCTAATTGGCCAAAAATAAAACTTAATTTTTATTGAAATCATAAATATTGGTGGGCTATGGGTTTGTGAAACAAGGTATAAACAAATTCTTGCCTTATAAATTGTAACACATACCCAATACGGCAAACTTAGATTGTTAACGGCCGGTTCCTCAAATAGGGCCAAAGACAAATTTAAAAACAGGAAAAAGTAAAGAGCATATGTCAAGAAGGCTGTGTTGTATAATGCATAATATCTGAAAGAAAAATAAAAAATATAATCACAAAAAATATGAAATGATATAATATTAAAGTAATATGCTCCTGGAAGCTAATGACAATGAATATAAAACATTAAAAATAATAATATATAATATATAATATATATAACATAATATTTGGAAAATAAATATTGATATTACAATTTTTCAATACAATAATATAGAAAATAAAAGGCATATATTTTAGAGCCTATGATTATTTGTTAAAATAAAATGATAATAATCATATTAATAATATAATGATATTAAAATATTTATATCATTAATAATAAATAAATAATGATGATGATTTTCACTGTCCTATTTAAAAAGTGGCAATCCCATTTACAGTACAAAACAAGGCCTATACACAAGTTGTTCTATATAAATTAAGTATCATTAGGAGGCTTGGGGTGTGGAATTGCTTTTTTTTATGAAAAAATATTCGTCACTTGATAGAATTTTAACCCAGGACCCCTGTAAAATAGAAAGCAAGCACCCTAAACACTAATATAAGCCCCATTCTATATTAGTAAATAACATTAAATTTGAGGTTATTGCTCTCCGTAATGTTGCAATGTTTACAATGAATCCAAATACACTATTATACCGTAAAACTTCAAAAAGAATCCCTGAGCTTCTTTTTTTTTTTGCAAACTTTGGATGGGCTTCTTTTCAAGATGGGCTTCTTTTTCGGGGCTACTTTTGCAAAGTAAAGGGGGGGGGGGTTCTTTTTAAATGAATGCTGTAAAGTTTAAGGATTAATCTACTATAAAACAATAAATAGGGTCACTTCCTGTAAAGTTTATGTACTGTATTATCTCAAAAAGAAGACCATGTAATGCTATCTTGAATAGAAGCCCATGTGCTTTTTTTTCGAGGCTACTTTTACAAACTAAAGAGGGGGCTTCAATTCAAGATGGGCTTCTTCTCAAGATTAAGCACATTGGGCTTCGAGGTTTTACGGTTTAACAGAATAATATAGAAAGAGCTTTCCCCTTAAGGATACCTTCTGTTGTAAGGGCACATAGAAAAAATTATTAGATCATCATTCTTTTTTTTTTTAAATTGATGATGGAGGGCGGTTTTTTTTTTTTTTTTTTTTTTAATCGGTACAATAATTTATTTCACTTTTATTTTTATCGATAAAGGAGGTACTACTATAATTGGCCTGTACCCGGGCCTGTAATAGTAAATATTGTATAAAAACTGGCTTAATTTTATAGTTTTTTAAAGAAAATGTATTTAAAGTCACAAAATTGCATTGTTATTTTATGCTGTTAAAATAATTGATGCGGCAAACAAATTTTATTTTTTTAATCCTGCATCCATATTTCCGAATTTTTGATGCGGGCGGGAATGATAATCTAATATATTTTTCTATTTGCCCTAAATAATGATAAAACCAGCAAACAATTAAATGTATAATTTCAAAATATTATGTAAAGGATATTGATAATAAAGACTATTTTTTCTTACTTTAAATACTCCTGCTCAACTTTATGTTTATAGCTGCGGGCATATCTTGCATCATTAATGTATGTTGAGGCTAGGAAAAGCTCCTTAATTACAAAATACAAACAAAAAAGCACCACTCCATAATACAAGAAATGATGATAATTAATATTTTTTAGCAAGTACATTACATTCAGCAAGTGATAAAAACATTTTACCTGAAGTGAATGTCAAATAATATTGTTATTTCTGCTTTTCTCAGTAAAGTGTTATATTTGCAAATTTTTTGTCAGAATTTAAAGCCCCATTCCCGACAAAATTTCACTAAAAACTGACTTTTTTTAGAAAATATGCATTTGCATTACTCCAATTATTATAAATCATGGAAAAATATTGGCATGAATTTTAGTTTTACACAAAATAATAAAAAAAATGAGAAATACAGACTATTTCTCATAAAATATTACCATTTTCTCGACGAATTCATCGTTACTAGGCAAATTCAGAGGTTGTAGATCGCATCCACTGGAATATCTCGCTTTTATGTATACGTAATTTATACAATAAAGTGCGCCCTCTCTAATGAGATTAGTTTTTGTACTTCGCATCTCGCACAATGCGGTCGTTCGGTTAGGCTGAGATATATTTGTTTAAGTGTCAAAATCTCAGTCAGAATCAGTTTTTTAGCAAATTTGAAATAATTGTCAATACTAGCAACGGAAAATATCATGTCGGCCGTTTTTATGTGTGATAACAGAACCTAAATCGAGGTAAGGCTAGGCCTAGCCTAGCAGCGTTGGATAGGCTAATGTTTTCGGCGCCTACGATATTTTTTCTCACGACCTATCGCAAAATCAAACATGAAAAATTCATTAGCATTTATTTTTTGTGTGGAACACAAAAAATAGAATTTCAGTCTTATTTTACATTTTTTTCATTCTTAGGAATGTCTAAATTCAGTTAAACTAGCAATTCCGTATTATATTTATAAATCTTTATAACATTATACAAAAATTAGATTTTTCTTAAAAACTGAAATTTTGCCGGGAATGGGGCTTTAAAAATAATTACTTTAAAAATAAGTTATTGTAGTTAAGTCCACCAACCTCTGTAAATTCTGCCCCAACCACCGAAACTGACCAATTTAAACCGTACACCGTACATGTATCAATCCTAATTTTTTAAAAAGTCTGGGACATACTTACTGTGTAATTTATCGTTGAATCTGGCCCCCTCTTACAAGGGTCGACAGGTTGGTTCGCAAGATCTAATTCAATATGCTCTATGGTTTTCTTGAAGCTGATGGGTCTTGGGTGGGTGATCGGGAGAGGGGCATCAACCAGCTCGGAAAAACTTACAGATCTTTTGCGATGTTCTTTTGCGGCCATTTTTATCCTTATGAGAGCAGAAAACAATTTAATTTTCTTTGAAATCATTTTAACAAAATAAAAACAAGTTTATATTTAATAAAAGATGTCACACAAAAATTTATAATAAAAAACAATTAAAGGGGAAGTGAATTTTGGGAAAACGCCGAACGTTTTACAATTGTGTAAAAAATGATAATCCAATTCAGCTTTAATGAAGCGTAGGGATATCTTCTCATACTTCCTAAGCAAAGGGGAAGTGCGGAGATGAAACAAGTGGCCATATATTTCTTATTTAACCTTTCCTGAGTTCAGGAAAAATACTTCAAAAATTAAAAATGCTCAGATGTAACGATAATTATAGAAACAAAACATGATGAGACAGGAAAATCAGGTGAAAACGAGCCTGATCACTTTTTTCAGTAGCTTGGTAGCATTTTCTAACCAACTCATTAATATTCATGACCAGTCTGTCAATTTTTGCGAGCAGCTGATCGAAGAATCATCCCGACGATGATTGAGCGACAGCCTAGACAATAGTGTGAAGCCGTGAGTTTTGTGATCGTTTACGTACGCAGTAACAGGGAGAGGGTTTAGTCGACGTCAGTTCAATCATGGGAATAATTCAATTAAATTAATACACGTATATTAGTCTGATGACTTGTTTGTTTATAATTAGGCCTATGCCTAGGATTAACACAGTCAGTGTCTACCCAGCAGCAGTGCACTCTAGTCCGGGACACTGCTCCAGTCCCGCAGCAGGTGAGTTCGCACGCAGCCTTATCCAGCTGACGGTAAAGTTAGTAGATTTCTACTACTAGCCTAGCCTTGTCATGCCATGGTGACTTCGTCACATTTGCCAGTGAATTTTTTTTCATAAATAGACCTAGGCCCCTAGGCTTACTAATATTATACTATAAGCCTAGGCCTAGTTAAGGCCTGGTCCTATGAAAAACTGTCTAGGCCTAGGCCAAAATCATATGTCTAAAAACTGTACTGTAAAAGGTGATGTGCTATTACGAAAATGACCAATTCATTCCAATTGGAAATTGAATTGGATTCAATATGAGTCAGTTGGATTGTAATTGGAATGAATTGGATCCAATTGGTTCCAATTAAGAAAAAAATATTCCAATTGGAATTTTGGAAAAAATCCTATTGAAATCAATTGGATAACAAATGTCCAATAGGATTTTTTTTATAAATCCAATTGGAATGATTCGGATGACAAATGACCAATTAGAAATTGGAAAAATCCAATTGGACAATTAATTTGCAATTGAAATTTTTTTTAAATCCAATTTGATAACAAATACCAATTGAACTAAAAAAAACAAATCCAATTGGAACAGATTTCCAATTGGATTATAAATATCCAATTGGAATTTTTACTTATTCCATTGGATAACAAATATCCAATTGAATTGCCTTTAAATTCCAATTGGATAAGAAATATCCAATTGGATTGTCTTGAAATTCCAATTGGATAGCAAATATCCAATTGGATTGTTTTTTAATTTCAATTGGAAAAGAAATATCCGATTGGATTGTTTTAAAATTCCAATTGGATAACAAATATCCAATTGGATTGTCTTTAAATTCCAATTGGATAACAATTATCCAATTGGATTGTCTTTAATTCCAATTGGATAACAATTATCCAATTGGATTGTGTTAATTCCAATTGGGATTTATTTGACCAATCAGAATGCAGTATTAACAGGTCTCTTGACAACTGCGTGATAAAAGTTATAAAGTTAAAATGCGCCATTTTTGCACAATGGGTGAGAACATATGACAGGCTGTCCTGCTCTGAGTTGTTTTTGTTCATAAAAAGTAAGTATTTTATCAATTTTGTGTTCAAATTCCTAAACTATTTAATACAATAATAAGCCTGGTCCTTAGCTTTCTTAGACTTTTTTTGAAATGAATATTGGCTTAGATTAATTAGAAACTGAATTTAAAAATCGAACATTGCCAGCCAAATGCCAGTGACCTGAGGGGCCTAGAATAGTGCAGTGTATAGCCTTCCTTAGACATGAAGGCCTTCAGGATGGGTAGGTGAGGCTTTGTCTGCTACATATGCCATATCGTTAGGCCTGTCCAAGCCTAGGCTATGCTTGCACAGCCTAACTCAATAATAACAGGGTAATGATTAGGCCAAGCCTAGGCCTAGGCTAGTTCAGATTACTTCATATTTGTTTTAAACTTTTTAAATTTTTTTAAATTTAAATTTGTTGATTTAGGCCTAGGCCTAGATAATATAAAGGCCTAACCTAGGCCAGCAGGGGGATATAATTTTTATTACTAGTACTAGGCCTAGGCTAGTAGTAGTAGACCTATGTATGTGAGCCCAGGCCTAGCACAGGGAAGGCTAGGCTATAGGCTATCTCTAGGCCTTTAGTCTAGGCTTAGCCCTAGATAAAGGCATGCTAGGCCTATTAGTACTGTTTAATTAATTATTGTTGATAATTAATGAATGATTATTATTATATCATCAGTATCACTATATCTAACTGCTTTTTATCTCTAGGCCTATATTGTTTTTGATTGTTTTTAACAGATTAACTAAATTTTGAAGCAAGCTCTGCAATCTGATGTCAGGTATTTTCTGCTGAAACTAAACATAAATTTTAACTTCAACTTTCCAACAAGTGTCAAGGCTATAGGAATTGCAATTTGTATTTTTGATATCGACCACTCCAAAAATGAATTTGTAATTCGCCTAAAATGTAAGCGTGCGTTTCAAGCTGTCGACCAGGAAAAGAATATTAATAAAGGGTGAGTTGGATACTTAAATATGCATGTAGTACCTCACTCATGGCCATTCACTAGCACCACTTAAAATACTTCCCAATGAGTACATTTTGGGGAGTGTATGTCTTCAGGACAACTGAATTTTTTAAGCTACTTGTCCTAGGCTAGGACATGTGAAATGAAATTAATTTCCCTCATGCTAATTAGCTTTTAAAATTAATCTTTATAATATTATTAGTTTTCAGAATGGCCGGTGCCTGTCTCTTATACACATCTAGATGTGTATAAGAGACAGCTTACAAGGGTATGCATTCTCACGACCAATATATTGCAAAATACTCTATTTGAATAAACACCCTGAGGTTTTGGAGGGGTGTTATTCATAGGACGATTTTATTCGAGGGAGGACTTTATTTTTTGGGTGTAAAATGAATACCTACATACTCAAATTAAATTAAACGCATAATTGCCGTCAAATTGTGTATTGTATGATCATAAAGACTTACTGATCCCCAACTGTAATTAATTCTACTGTACTACATTGTGTTAAGAATGATGTTTGCTTCCAGTAGGTTTGTTTACCATCATTTAGGGGGCGTTTATTTGAGGAGAATATGAATGCCCCAAGGCGTTTATT